GGAATGATTACTACCTTGCATAGTGTCAACGCAACTGAAGATATGACTAGGGATTGGGGGTTGTAATAAGATATTCACTTCTCAATTTGTGATATGTTACGTTTTAACATTCTGAGTGTTGGTGGGAGCTACATAAATTCTTACAATAATATCAAAAGGGTTAATACCGATCATATTCATGTGTTGGGTGAGAGGGTATTGTAAAATCAATTCCTAGTGGCCCTATGACCTGCACCATTTAATCAAATAACACTGTACTATTATTTGAAGATTAATATGTTAAGCACAGCAATACATGTTATGTATAGTGGGTGATGAACAACAATTCTGCTGATTATTAAGAGTTAAAAGATTTTCCTTGAAAAGGATTTGCAATTTTGCTGGGAATAAATGGCTTAACAGGAAAACAATGAATACCTACAAAAGATAAAATCAGAAAATGATTTTTAAAATTTGTACAAATATTAATATAAAGTTAAGCTTAAAATTAAATTAAGTATTAATATAATTAAAAATATGTTTAACATTCACTCCCACTCCTCGTAACCATTCTGGGCGACTATGCTGCAGTATCTGGCTACAAACTAAATATATACTGAAGTCTTAGCTATACACATAGACCATTTGATTCTTAACACCCTACAAACACAATACCCGTTAAATTTCCAGTGCTGTACACTTAAATACCTAGGTACCATACTCCCCGCTGACCTGGTACAAACCTACAGCCATAACTTCATCCCCCTACTCAACAAAGCCACACATGACCTGGAGAATTGGAAAGACATGTTAATATCTTGGCTTGGCCGCTTGGCCTCTTGGCCTCAATAAAGATGAATCTATTACCGAGGTTCTTATACCTCTTCCAAGCTTTCCCGATACCCATTTCTACATCCAACTTCAAAAAGTTACAAACAAACATCGACAGATTCATATGGGCCAACAAAAGGGTTAGGATTAAACGCCTCACACTTTATGTACCAAACAAGGCTGGCAGTCTTGGACTACCTAACTTTACCCATTATTTCCACGCCACCCAAGTAGCCCAAATCCAGAATCTTCACTCTGCATATGGCTTTAAACGATGGATAGATCTAGAACATACTATCTTTGGGAGGGACTTCCCATCCTTATATATCTGGCATTCGAAACAAGTCTGACCTCCACTCCCCTCCACCTCCCCAGCAATTCTCACATCTAAAAAGATATGGGATAAGGTAATGGTAGAATTCAACCTAGTCTCAAATCCTTCCCCACTCACACCTATTCTCCGAACACACACTCGCCCCTGGTAAAAACCCCAAGAATGTCATACACTACGAAGACAACGTCTTGACCCGAATACACCAGTCCTACACCAACCAACAGCTTATAGCCTTCTCCCTCAACCCACTCTGTTAACAACCCACGACTTCTTTCGGTATATTCAAATTCAAAGCTTTATCAGCGCACCCACCTACAAACGAGCAAGCATCAGCCCCCTAACACTCCTTGGAAAAGCTTGTGTTAAAAACCATATGCAAAAGGGATAAATCTCTGCAATATACTCCCTCATCACTCAGACTGCACAGGAGGGATCCCCGTCCTGTATGTCGGTCTGGGAGAGGGATCTGAGTCCCATTGGAGATCCCAAAGACTGGATAGCGACTTTGGAGGCCACAGCAATGATTTCTATATACGTAAATCATAAAGAACAGGCATACAAAACACTTCTAAAGTGGTATCTAACCCCACTTCATCTAAAACAAATGAAGAAGGCAGACAAACACCTCTGCTGGAAAGGGTGTGGAAACAAATGTATATACATCCACCTATGGTGGGAATGCAATCAGATAGCAGCACTTTGGCAACAGGTATCACAGCTAGTATCCAAGGATGGATACCCATGGCTCATCTCTAGACCCCTCAGGAATACAACGCACGCCCAAAATAAACTAGTAGCTAAAATAGCCCTAGCCACAAGACAAACAATCGCAGAGAAATGGGAAACCCCAGACGTTCCTTCTTTCGACATAGTAAAACGCAAAATAAATGACGCCAGGAAAATGGACAAGCTCTCTGCACTTATACACGACACCACAAAACACTTTGGCAACACCTTGGGTATTTGAATTCCCACTTTCCACTTAACTCTTCCCCCTGGGGATAGGGTGGCGGGGCAGGGGCTGGATTCTTGGAAGGACCACCACCTCGATACTGTCCCACCCTCTCCTTCTCTTTTCTCCCTTTTATTTTATTTCTTTTTCTTTTCCCTTTCTACCTTTTACCTCTCTACCCTTCCCTGCTTTCCCTACGTTGCCTCCCATCTAACTACTTCTCCTCCCCCACCCTCTTGTACCCCAACTCACCCATCAAACCACAACTACTCATGCATATACACACACATTTCAGGAAACAGTCACTCCATGAACCACCTTTCGACGACAGCACTAGCTAACCCCTCCACAACACGTTAATGTCCTCAGGATACCAGGTCTTCGACTCGTATCTCACCAACGTAGAACTACTTAGGAATTTAAAAAACATCCATATCTCTTAGCTTCCGAACACACAAACCTCCCCTCACCCCCCAAATCCCCCTGGGCCTGCTATCATACTGGCAGGTAGTGGAGCTCAAAATAAAGATTTTCACTGCCATTACTATTACCTTACCCCCTACCTTGTCAAAAGTTGTATGGAAACCCTGCAAAAGGAATGACAATGGAATGTATAATTAATGGTTTACGTGGTTATGTACTGTCATTACCCTGTATTGTAATGCAGCCTAGCTAATCTAACTTCTCTACTTGTTCCCTCTATAACTTCCTTCAATGCTGAAAAAAAAAAACCTGAAAAATTATAAAAAATAAATAATTTAATTTAAAAAAAGTTTAAATATTTAAACATTTTTATAAATAGAAGAAAAAAAACTACACTGGGATAAAATTAAAATAAATAATTAATGTTAATGTAAATATCAAGTGTAGAAAAAGAGCAATAATGAAACAATTGCTCTGTAAAATGTTTGAAATCTCACCTTAAGACAAGTAAAATAAAAGGTGTTGGTAACTACTAGACTTGTGCACAGTGGAAATGTATTTTTGGCCGAACAACTTCAGCATGGCAGAATTATGTCAAAAAGATAGAGAAAACCAATCAGATGAATAAAAAAAGAGGGCAAAAATGTCTATATTTGCAGTACACAGATTGGTGTATTTTCATGACATTTGTTTCACAGATCAAGTGATAAAAAGTAACCGATCAATGGAAAAAGAAGAGGTACAGTTAAAAAAAATCTATATTTATGAAATATAATCGAGGTAAAATATCCAACCATGTAATATCAAAAATAGAGACATTTACAAGAAAGATACAAGAAACATTGTACATAGGACAATGACTCCTCAGTCCCCTTCAGAGTGGGCACCTTGGGACCTCACACAGTTCTCCCAGAGTCTCTTCCACAGTTCAAAACACTCTGTAAAATCCTTTGTTGGAATCGCCATCAGCTGCCTCGTCGTATTTACCTGAATCTAATTGACAGTCAGAAAACTCTTCGCTTTCAAAAGGTGATTTTAGTTTTGGGAAAAGCCAGAATTCGCAGGACGGCAAATCTTTCAGCAGATTCTTGACCGTCTTTGAAGCATTTGTGCCACACTTTTCTTTGCGCTGCACTCATTACATCACCCCCGAAAGCCGTCCGAATCATTTGAATAGTTTCAGTGGAGAAATGTTCAACCATATGCAAAATTTAATGCAGATTTGTTGCTCTACTCACACAGTCATTTTAAATGCGACGGCTACACAGTACGCTCAGTCAAGAGTGTCTAGCACCCCCACTGACTTGTACATATTTTGTATTACTCCAGATTACTCTACCTTCAATATTTAGTTTCTACCCCCAACTAAAGAATGATAAAAAAAAGATGTGTAATTGAGGGTGAAAAGGCGTATAACTGCGTCTAATTAGCTTAATTTGTACCAGTCAAGATGGCATGATTACACCATAGTAAAGATGTTTTTGTACATTACATACAATCAATGATGTCTGTAAGCACTAAGCCACTCTACGTTCTTGAGTGATTATAAGCCAATGGGTGGGATTCCGTTGAACAGATGTTCTTATTGCAACTCCGGCATATTCAGGAGACCTAGTGACATTAAAAGTCTGTGCAGTCATTTTTGACGTGTTTTGATATTACAGAGAAAAGCAGGGTTCGCCACTCTTTTTGACCATTTGAAATTCTACACAATTCAAAACTATATTATTCATGCTATGAAGCCTGGTAGATGCTTCTGTAATGGACCTTACACAATACCTTCAGGATATAACTGTGTTATAAGAACAAGGTACAATTATTACATGCTTTGCATTATCTGGATAGTGTGTTCTAGAAATGGTTATAAACCTGTCCTTATTATAAAATAATTCTCTCTGGCAGCTCAGGGTTGCTGGCAAGCATTTAATAAGGCATTCTTTCATTTCAGAGACCAACTAAGGTCCGTGAAAATAGACATCAGGGACATGACCTGTGAAGAGTAAGAATGCTTTCTCCGATTGCTGCTTTGGAATATGAATAGCTTACAGGCCATGTGAAACTATTTTTTTTAAATAAAAAATATTAGCATTAATCCATATTATTGCAAAACTGAGATAGCAGAATGCTATAGGCCATGGATGTTAAAACTGTTTGTTTTTTTCAGAATCATTCTGGGATATGCTTACATAATAAAATATTGCTTAAAGCAATACTATAGAATTTTTAACTCCTAAATAGTAGAGAATTGAGCAGTGAGACTGCATGGGTATCATCTATACACCAAAACTGTTTTATTAAGCTAAAGTTGTTTTGGTGCCTCTAGTGTCCCTTTAAAGTAAAATTGTAAGATGATTACACGTGGTTATGTTTGAGGGGAGCTCTTCTTAACTGTAACAGTCACCTGGGGACTTATGGGACAGGAAGCAGGCAAAATCCAAAACACAATACAGATTAAGGGAAAATCCAAAGGCAGGGTCAGATGAGAAGCAGAAGTCAGGGCTGGCAGCGGAGTAACAAAGTCGGTAAATCAGGCAGAGGTCAGAGTCAGGGAAATCAGTCAGTAGTGTAGCAAAGATCCGTCAGGAAACACCAAACAGGCAAAATGACCAGATCCTAGGTTTCAGGCAGGGCTGGCTTTTACAGCCGGCTAATTAGATGCAGATGGCCCTAATTGGAAAAGGGCTGCAGGTGGGTCAGCACTGCTTAATCCAGGCAAGGGGGTCAGGAAGCAGAAAAAATGCAAATAAAAACTAAAGCCTCCTGGTGGATGTCATGGAAGAGAACTTGATTGGGATGATGGAGCTGTGAGTTCAAACTCAGCAAGGTCTCTTAAAGGGGCAGCCACACCTTGCACAGCTCTGGGTGTACTGTAACATTAACTTTAGGGCAACGGTGACCTGTGTCCAAGGTGGACCCATCTGTGGAAGAGAGAGGAGGTCCATTGGTGATTGTGAAAGATGATCTAACTGTGGCAAGGAGAGAAAAGCATTTCTGGTGACACACATACAGGACACTAAGGGGAAATCTTATCCGATGAAATGAGAAATATTCATTTAAAAGGATACTATAGTCTTCAGATCTTGAGAAATATTTTGGAAAAAGCTCAGTAACAGTGGGCGAAACATGTTGAAGTGCGAGCAGCATTACTTTGAAGCACCGAGGACCTGACATGGGGATTGACAGACAATGGTTTAAATAAACAAACTGGTCCCTAAAAAGAGCAGAGCAGTAACGTGTACCAAGCTACTGTATTCCTATGTGTGTCTGTGGTTGTTGGAGACAAGTACCACAATACATTAGTATAAGGGTTCCTAGTGGGGGGAGGCTTCTTTTAAATAAATATCAGTGTTGCACTATATTGGATTTCTGTATCTTGCAATTAATCTGCAAGTGTATCCACATAACTGGACCAAGGATGTACTTTGTGACGCTGGCTTTGGATTTTATATAACCTGCCGATCAACCTGATAAATTTAACTTTTTAGGCCTCTTCATTAATTTAAATTTTTATCAAGTATTTATTTTGTATCTAAGACACCCCTAACTTTACTGTGGAATAGGGGCTAGTTACTAAGCGCTTACATTTGTTTTGTTAACATTTTACTATATTTAAGAGGTCAGGGGGGCTTGATAGTGTTTTTAACATTATAGGGTCCGGAAAATATGTTTGTGTTCCTGACCCTATAGTGTTCCTTTCATAATATCATGCATTTAGCTTACTACCTGGTTTTATTAGGAAATATTATTGGAGTGAATTCAAGAGTGATTCAAGCCTCATGTTCAATCTATTGCCAAATCCTGTCATTTCCATCTAAAAAAACATTGAGCGCATTCCACCCCTACTTAACACCAGATGTGACTAAGGTGTTGGTCCATTCTACTGTCCTTTGTCGCCTTGACTACTGTAATCCGCTTCTCAGTGGTCTTACGTGCTCCCAACTTGCGCCGTTACAGTCCATAATGAATGCGGCAGCGAGGCTCATCTTCCTGTACGCCCGCACCTCCTATCCCTCACCCTTCTGTCAGTCCCTACATTGGCTTCCTATAAAATATAGAGCTCAATTTAAAATGCTGGTTCTTGCTTTCAAATCTCTACATAATGCTGCTCCCACCTATCTATCCTCCCTTATACACAAGTATGTCCCGTCTAGGCCCTTACGATCTGCTGAAGACTTACGTCTATCTTCCGTCCGTACTCCCACCTCTGATGCTCGCCTTCAAGATTTCTTGAGGGCTGCACCGTTCCTGTGGAACTCGCTTCCCTCCTCCGTTAGATGCTTACCCAGTCTCCACTCCTTCAAAAAAAATCGTTAAAAACCCACTTCTTCATAAAAGCGTATCAATTAAACTGTTAATAGCTCCTGACTGATTCCTCTTCTGCAGCGGTCACTAGTCTAATACTATCCTTACCTTTTTGTGTCATTTTACCCCACTCCCTCTAGCATGTAAGCTCATTGAGCAGGGCCCTTAACCCCTCTGTTCCTGTGTGTCCAACTTGTCTGGTTACAACTACATGTCTGTTCGTCCACCCATTGTAAAACGCTGCGGAATTTGACGGCGCTCTATAAATATAATAATAATAATAATAATAATAGATATTCATTTACTCACTTGCAGTTATTAGCATTAAAATCATTATTATACACACTGTGTTGTAATGTGTCTGTTAAATTACACGTCATTTTTAGGTAAATGTTGGAGTATTAGGTTTGAAGTAATGGTTAGTGTTAGGGTTAAAGCTTATGCTAGAGTTAGCGTCTTAGAGTAATGTAGGGGTTGAGGGTTAAAAGGTAGTGTAAATGTTTGGTAGTGTAGAGGTTAAGAGGAGATGTTCATTGTTAGTAAACCACTGTCCGTGTGCTGCCAAGGAGCAGTGGGAGTTATCATAATGTATAGAAGCTATTGTTTGCAGCTGCCACTCAGGAGTGTAACCCCCACTAATCCTGGGCACACCAGGATATGTATGTCTGGCTGAAATTATGGAGGTTAATTGAGCAGTATTCCTTGTTCACTTCAAAATGTCCCAAATAGCATCCTCATCCTAGCAGTACAACATTCTAAAACGTTATCTGATATATATAAAAAGCTACATTTTACCACTTCAGTAAATACTTCACAAAACACCTACTTACCACCTACTCCTAAAACAGACATGTTCACTTCAACATTTCGATAATGCTTCAATGCTTCAATCCCTGTCAAACTGAGAAAAAAAATAAAAAAATTCCTACTTAAACATGAAGTTTTATTATTTTTATTTTAATAAACTCTAAAAGTGTATATTAATGTATTCTGGAAGTGGATTACATTGAAGATAGAAACGCTCATTCTTGCAAAACTGTTAATACTATGCATTATTTTAGATTTTATCCTCCCTACGTTTTTGACTGTATCAGAGCTACAGTGCCCATTATTATCCTCTCATGGGAATTTGGAGTTCCCCATTTTCAATCTGGAGCCAGCCCTACGCAGGGGCAACATTAGTCATAAAATGGCACGGCGGTTGTTATGGAAATAAGTACTCAAAGACCACTATAGGCACCTTCATCTCAATGAATTGATCTGGGTGCAGGGGTCTTGTCCATTTAGTCCTGCAATGTAAAACATTGCCATCTTGTGAATACAGCAATGTTTTCATTGCATGGGTAAACACACCTCTTGTGGTTTTCCGCCTGACTAGACGGTGCTTCCGCTGCAATAACCGAATTTGACATTCAACATCAAACGCAATCAAATGCTGATCATAGAGAAGCATTGAATTCAGTGCTTCCCTAAGAGAAACATTGTTTGTACAATGCCGTGCATGTTATTCTCATCCCCAATGCTCCTCCATGAGAAGCACTGAACTGGAAGATGAAGATGAGACAGGCTGGGAGATAACGTCACTGGAGGCAAGCGGACGGCTGTGTGAAGCAAGTCTCAGTGCTGAAAAATGGAGAAGATAATTTATTTTTATTTTTTTATTAAATATAGGGGGCCCTAAATATAAACATGGATTAGAACACTCATAGAGTTAGGAACACATTTTCCTTTAACTTATTATTGCAGATAATGTGGTTTTGGTTGATATAATTACACATCAGAAATCATGTTGATTAAAGGACCACTCTAGGCACTCAGACCACTTCAGCTTAATGAAGTGGTCTGGGTGCCAGGTCCTTCTAGGGTTAACCCATTTTTTCATAATTATAGCAGTTTCAGAGAAACTGCTATAATTATGAATGGGTTAAGCCTTCCCCCTAATCCTCTAGTGGCTGTCTCATTGACAGCCACTAGAGGCGCTTTTGCGTCTTCTCACTGTGATTTTCACAGTGAGAGCGCATAGCTCCATAAAGCATTGTAAATGCTTTTATGCGGCGGCTGGAATGCGCGCGCGCTCTTGCTCTGGCGTGCGCATTCCCGGCGTAACGAGGCGAGGAGGAGGAGGAAGCTCTCCGCCCAGCGCTGGAAAAAGGTAAGTTTAAACCCCTTTCCCCTTCCAGAGCCGGGCGGGAGGGGGACCCTGAGGGTGGGGGCACCCTCAGGGCACTATAGTGCCAGGAAAACGAGTATGTTTTCCTGGCACTATAGTGGTCCTTTAATGACTGACAATACTATTGAGTTAGTTCACACAGTTCTGATATTTTGAAATATCACTTTCGAGCGGTGGTAATACAGTTTCCAGTTCTTGCTTTGTGACTTTCATTTCAGTGTGGACTGATTTTGATCGTTGCTCACTCAAATGGAGGTTTCTTTCTGAAGTTCGAGTAACCCATCTAGTGCTAATAATATTACCACATTATTTATGGAACTAAATGCTCATTTATTATTGTGATTACTTTAACCCCTTAAGGGCACATGACATGTGTGACATGTCATGATTCCCTTTTATTCCAGAAGTTTGGTCCTTAAGGGGTTAATGTATAATCTATTACTTTTAATCATTGTATCACTTTATCATTACACTGTGAAAAACCATTGTCAAACGTCTGTATGGATCTTTTTTTAAATAAAAATGAGTTATCAGCAAATATTTTCCAATGGTAGCAAATGACAAACATCATAGAAAGTACTTTAGAAGAAGGTTGAAATATCAGAAAATAAATCATTGCTTCTGAAAAGCAATCTAAGTTTGAGCAGAACTGGTTAGTTAATGCATTTAATAATGCATTCCGCATAGGTCATGACATCCTGATGGAATCTAAACAGGATATCTCTTTATTCATATAGAGAAACACACTTACCTTGGCAGTGCAGTGATGTTATTCCGGTGGTCATGCATGCTTAGGCATATGCACAAAGACAAGCACATGCATTCTTAGGCACTGCTTGCGCGGGACTTCATATGCATCCAGAATATGCTAAAGTAAGAATTTTGGTATGTTATGGAATGTTCTGTCTGTGCTAGGACCGCCAGGCACACAATGTAAAAAGATAAATAAAAATGGTTAAAGGGTTACTCCAAGTAAATACACTGTTTTGGTTGATGTAATGCCCGGTTCCCCTGCTTTAAAAAGAAAAGAAAAAACTTGTCTGCAATCCCGCAAGTAAGTTCTGCCCAATTCGACTTCAATTACATCACCCCTCGCTGCAGGGAAAGGGATGTCGCAGAAGCCAGGTGTATATCTGGAGCCTGGATACAGGTTGGGGCACTGACAGACTTTGTGTCAAATTTTATCTCTGGAAAATGGCACAACATATGCAGAAACACAGATACATACTTGCAAACACAGATACAGTGACAAATACGGCA